GGGCCTTCGAGGAGCAAAGGCTGCGTGTGTCCTGTCGATATTGTTATAGTATTCTTGTCCACTAAAGACGATAAAGCGTACAACCCATGGTTATGCTCTCCTACGTAAAGCGTAGGACTGTGGAAGAAGTAAATGCTTATTTAAATTATATGGAAATTAATTCAATATCTAAACGAATAAGTACGGAATCTCCATGTGAAAGCATTAGTTCCGATCCACGACAAAGCAAACAAATTAACAAATTATTTATTTCATTCTAACTATTGTACCATTATTCACAAGGGCAGTACATTGCAGCGCGTGTGTGTAAATAAGTTAGCATAATTCTATAATACGATATGGCCATGTGTTATATCGTGCGTAGATTTCACACCAGTATTTATCTAATGACGACATAATGTCTAATATCTTTAATAAACAGAGTACGTTAGTAGAATATAAAACTCACTATAGCTCAATATTAGAGTTCTTAATCCCTTGACCATCCCTCAGAGTAGTGGCATCTTCCATGATGTGGTCAAGCGTGTCGTCCCCGATAGAGTTGAAAGGGACGGAGATAAGGCCCTCTCTGTCCAGCAGATAGGTGGCCACAACAGGCGTCTCGAAGTTGTGAGACCAGACTAGGTCCCCGGTTTTGCGGTCAAAGGACATCAGCCGACCACTTGAAGTCGATGCAAAGTGTATTATGCCTAAAACAAGACAAATAATAAAGCATTTACTAGGGGCTCCAGTTATTATGTTGCAGAAATTGTGGCTCTCGCTCTCGAAAGTATACATTGATATGTACCTAATGGAGAAACATTAAGATGATCATTCCTTGACTAAGAAACAGGATGGCTTAGCTTAAGTTAGTTCCTCAAAAGTCCACGAGGCCAGGATTTTGGACACCTGTTTGAATGAAATAGGAACGCGTGCTGTGCCATGCGCGACTGTCTTTTTCAGAACGCTTATCGTCGGCTACGTCGTAATAAGTGCTAGACAAAACACATTATAAAAAGTAATGTGATTTTTACTACTGCACTATTTCCATAACAATAGTTAAAATTGACATAAAAATGTATTAAACAATTTTTACGCATGGCAGAAGGAGGTAATTATGCATGGCGTATTTACGCAACGACATAAGCGTACAACAAAACCGTGGCATATCACTGATAAGAATCGAGTCGTAATTAAATTCACGTAAATGTTCTATGTTGGGGATTAAAAACTATACAATATTATGTTTATCTTTAGTAATAATAAGTTAAATCGGATATCAATATTTGAGTGGATGTTGTTTACTATTTTTTATTTATGCTCATGTCCTTCTTGATATTGTAGTTTAGTATGATTTAGAGTTAACATCACTCTTGAAACAAATAAGGTACCACCTGAAGGCATACCCTGCGAACAAAAGCCTTTTATTACAAATAAATAATAAAAAAAACTTTGAACTTACCATAGTCATTGAGCATTTCTTTCCCCATTGCATGGGATGTGTAGTCAAAAAACGTCACATTCCATTTCTGGTTTGTATTCTTGGAATCATGCATCAGAATATTGTATTCAGTTCTAGCAACATAAATGCCCCTCTTTTTGTCTGGTTCACATGTGTTCGAATTTTCGCTGAATATTTTCGATTTGTCGAAACCTGAAATTAAATTAAAATTAGAATACCGCAAACAATTAATACATTTATTATTTTTTCACAATGGCAAATTAAAATAGTGTCGCCAGCATTAGAAACAGAAATAAGAAAAACAATACCATAATTATTTTTTTACACTGGCAAACTAAAACAGTGTCGCCAGCATTAAAAACAGAAATAAAATACCTGAAACATGTTCCCTAGATCCAGTTAAGGGATCCAGCATGAACCAAGTGTCGCTTTTCTTTCCTGTATAAAGTATACCCTCAGTGGACCGGCATGGGGCGTTAGCCACCAGCTCTGGTATGGTGAAAGGCAGTTTCTTAAGCATTTGCTGGTCACCTCGTGGACCGTACATGTATAGGAACCCATGGCGAGGGTCCGGTAGAAACTGAGGCATGAGGTTTGCATGTTGGTTGGGGACTTTTACTACTGGTTCTAAAACAGAAAAGATCGTGTTTATTTATTTATGTAAATAGTGTAAAGCAGACCATGCAGATGGTGGCACTTGAAGCTAATCACAGTGGCATCTTATCTAGCTGTAAGAAGTGCGATTTTTCAACAAAGATGTATCTGATAAACATTTCTTAGATGCAAATGTGTTAGTAATTTTGTTAGTAAGTAATATTAATAAAACTTATTTTTTAATTGCTTTGTTACATGTGTCTAGTCAGTTTTTTATAAATAGGGCAATAATCCTCAAGGAAATATGTTTCTGATAGACACAATCAGTCATACATAATCAAGTATTTATCACTTGAAAACAATTAAATGGGTATTTCTTTTAACCTGAGTATAATAATGCATAACAATTCTACTGGTAATTCCGTTTTGGCGCCTGCGCCGCGGCCGCTCCGTGTATTGTGATGGGTAGAAAGTTTCCAAAGGCTTCCAGAAATATGTTGTACGTTAAGTTTGCCTACTCATTGTTGTTTAGAACACACATTGTAATAAAAAATACAAGACATAAGATACAAAAATAGTTAGCCAAAAAAATATCATTAGATTTTCAAATAACATGACTTTGTGTTTGGCCTTCAATGCAGTTCAGTACACTTTGAAATTATGTAAATGAGTTTTTTTATGTATTTTTTCCATGAAATTACTATTTCATTGTAATTTGTTACAGCATACCCCAATGTAATCTAAAACATGATATTTAAATTTTTATTTTAAAATAGGCAATAATAAATGTTAATCAAAAAACACTGTTGTTTCATTTTCAAAGTTATTTCAGTTTGAAATTACACTGTACCCTTATCATTTATACAGATAAAGCTTGATAATAGATAAACCTAAACCCTTCCAAAAGTCGGCCTACATATTAAATGCAATTAAAACATGTGTTAGGCCATGTGAGTGTAATCTTTACTCTAGATCTTTCTACTGGCCAGTGTGAAATGTTTTTTGATAAAAGACCAATTAATACTCAGTATTGATAATATTTGACACATACCAGGTGCATTTTAGGCAGATAATGTGTGTTGGACACACCATGCGGAGATAAGTCTCTTATCTATTGAACTGTACTTACTTATTGTGTGATGTGACCTGCATGCAACATTGTATTTGTTGCAATTTTATTACATCCTACTACAGTTATAATGATAGAATTATTGATTTTACCTTTATCTAAGCCAACTTAAGGCTTACTATGATTAAATTAATAGCATTTTATCAAATCACTAAAAAATTCATTACAAGTTTTTCCAGTTTCATATAGGTTTCTGTACTATTCTTGAATAAACATTTTTATTATTTTTTTATAACTTTTGGTTGTATCTGTTTCATTCTAGAATTCATTAGAAAGAAATAATTTCCTTTCATGTTTAATTAGTGTCATTTTAATCAGATAAGACCAATGGCTTAGATATCTTAATACCCTGATGATTGAACAAACTTTTCGCAGTTTGAATCAATTACCTATCTTCTATTATTTATGTATTGAAGCATTTGTAAAGATACAAACCTTAGAAACAGATAATAGATTCTTTAAATATAGCTTCTAGCTTGATAAATCAACCAAAAAAACAATTAATCTTATACAAGAGCTTGCTCAGTGTGGATGAAAAACATCAACACCACCATGTGGAGCAGTTCAGTAGATTGTTAACACAATGAATTAAGGTTTTTCCCTTCGGTTGGTTGGTTATCAGTGAAAATAAATGTACATACCTTTATAGATTTCATTAATTAGATAGGCGTAAGTAGTATAAATTCACTAACCGTCTTTCAGTTTCCATATAATATTGCCCGCTACAGGTTCGACGGCCACCATGCCGCCTCCTAACGTGGCAAACAACAGAGGCCGGTCGTCTAGCGCACGAGACAACTCTGTGCTCTCCTAAAATAAGTATAAATAATGCACTCAACCTGAACATAACGTAATAATCGCAAAATCAATGCAACGCAATCGGCGTGACTCTCACGTCGCGCTCACCTTTCCACCAGCATCGTCAGGAGACCCGAGGCCAAAGCCCCCACACAAAAGCAACCCCAAAAATAATAATGTCATTTTAACACTGTCTAAACACTTAGCACAATATACACAATTAAAAACGAATATGATGCAAATCCCATTATTCTTTGTAATCAAATACAAGAAAAACACCAAAAATACAAAGGAAAAGTGACGGAAATATCATCGTGTTTGACACTTTGACAGCAATGACATTGGCTTGGCTGGCTGACATAAAACAACACAAGCCGGAGCCAAAACTCGAGGCTGTGTCGTGTTCTAGCAATTTGAAACATCATATTTGCCCGCGGGCAAGATCACTTTGATGACGGTGAAAACACCACACAACAAAGTAACAAAAAATAATTATGCATTGGCATTTTGCTTAGTTTTTGATACCATTAATCACACTAAATATATATGTTAGTCAAAAGCACAATTATTAGTATTTCAATATTTTAACGCCATTGTTTTACTTTTTAGCGGTGATAATATTCTTACAAATTATAATGTTGCTACTGTGTAATTCTTAGAAAGAAGTACGGTAGAAGCTTTCTTCTTTATAAATCTCTAAAAAAAAACATTATTATAATTCATTTGTAATATCGTGACGTCATTATATGCATTAAAACATTAGGCAACATTCCATACAATAAATCATATCTAGTATGAGCGCGTGTCATCATGACTGTTATAATTTATCTTCTTTATTTCTTGTTGGATTTTTTATTTTAACGAAGATTTTTTTTGTGTCCGTGCAAGGTTTTCGAAAATACAACTGTTACATTTTGGGCTGGAAGACGTTGGTAAAAAAATATTTTCCTACTAACCAGAAAATAGTAAAAGACGCATTATGCTACACAAATATGAACCACGGCCTATTGAAAAAAAAAAAACAAACAATTGTCAAAGTTGTCATTACAACTCACTTTCCGACTGGAATCTGTCAAATGTCGTGTTTGAAAGTGTCAGAAAACATTTGAGTGAGCGACTAAAATAATGGATTACAAAAAATCCCCTACAATTTGATTAATCTTGAAATCTATTGGACGTGTAAGAGAATATAGACTAAAGTGTTTCATGAGTTACTGGCTGTGTAGTGTTTTAGTTGACTTTTCAGTTCCAGTATGGAGATCTCCGGCTCTGGTATGTTGACAATATTTTTTCCTATTCTACCAGCAAATCCAACTTAATTAAAGTTTGCACAGAATGACATCAGTTGCTTCGAATAATATGTGCAAAATACACAAAGATTAGTGGCCATTTTTCGACGATAAACCAAACATACGCCCGTCCGTAGTTACGATACGTTTCTCTAACAACAAAGGCAGCAATAGTCAAAACAATCTCAATCTTATTCCGTCTTTGTATGCACACGAGAATTGGTAATGCGCTTCTCGCACCAATCATCTGATAGTAGTTACAAAGTGTTAAATGAATCGTAAGATGTTATTTGTGTAAACAGATGGTACATCAACAATGGGTATGTATTTTGTTAATTGCGTAAATACGTTTATAGTTAGGTTAAAAACTTATAAATGTTATTGCAGGAAAATCTCCTAACACCTCCCTATCCTTTAGATATAATGCCAATAATGAGGAGTTAGAAGAGTTGTACAATGTGTGTGAAGATGATCCCCCCACGCCGCAGTGTGATGTGCCTCAGAGTGCACAGGGTGAAAATGCGAGTCCTAAAAGGGGTGATAAAACTTCCTCTATAATTGACAAGTATTTTAAGTCTATCCGTGACAAACCGATTGAAAAAGAGAAGTTGATTGAGAAGCCTGTTGAAAAAGCTGAGGATGCCAAACCAGTGGAAAGTAAGCAAGCAGAGGAAGGAGTTACTGCTATTCCACCTAAGGAAGTGTCCTCCTCACCCATGAAGGAGTATTTCAACCGTTTAGGCAAGAGGAGCTCATCAGAAGTAGAAGTCAAGGAGAGCAATGAAACATGGAAAATATTTCATGACTTCAAATTCAAAATAGCTCAAGCTGTTGAGGATATGAAGACAAGATCTCTAGAAGGTATTACAAATAGCATTTCTAAAATAATATTTAAATAGTGTTTTTTTTTTCAATTAAATATTATTTTTTTGCATAGAAACAAAAGAGAAATCAGTGCCAAGAGAAAATTCAACATCAGATTCTGAGGAAAATTCAGCTGTAAAGGATTCAGATCAACAGAGTGTTGGAGATACTGACAATCAGGTACACAATATTTTATGATAACATTTAAACTTTGTTTAAATTACAGTGATTTCCCTATTGTGCAATCAATTGAAATCAAATATTTCTCATATAACATTTGCAAAAATAACAACATTCTTATCTTATTTTTATGGCAGTACATCTGTGCAAATGTACAGTTCTATTACATTTTTGTAGCAATATAGCATCTATTACAACTGTGTAAGATTAAAATTACTTAAGCACTAATGTTATTTTGGAAACAAATAATGGCTTAGTGATTATTGTTTATTACAAAGTACTTAGTTAAAAAGTAATTAATATTTAGCTTAAGTTTAATTCCTACATATTTACTATGATACTAAATAAGTTCTCTTTTCACAAAATATTTTCACACACATAATATTGGTACTTCTTAAAAGTGTTATTTTTAACATTGGAATGTTAAAAATTTTGTATTCCGTCCCACAGGTATCATCATTAGATAGCAGCATTCAAAATCTGTCAGAATTAACACAACCACTGACAGCGAAAGCAACTGAAAAGGAGTTCATCTATCCTGCAGAGAGCAAGAACCATTCGGATTCCAGCGATGACACACATAAAAATATTGGTAAATGAATTTTGTCTTTCTAAACTACATTTGGTTTCTTCATTATTTTATCCATCGTGGAATCAACAGCACATCATATTTTTTTACACAAAGCACATTTTCATCTTAGTTGAAACGTCACAGTTTGGCTTGATGTACTCTGTCCTACGTGAATGTGTGTATGTGTAATTCGACTAATGACGGGTCATTTTCAGGTAACAGCGACTCCGCTGACGTGTCACGGGATATCCTCAATGACAGCAACATGATGGAAGTAGAATCTGGCGTAGAAGCCTTGGAAGATACTTTGGATGGCTTCGGCTATGTGCCCAACCCTGAAACCAACCCAAGGGACAATGCCCAGGACAATATCCCCCCTACCCCTCCACCCCTCTTGCCTAGCAATTTCGGAATGCCTCCTAGCAAAAGCAACTTACACAAAGCTCCATCATCAGATAAACCTAGGGTTTATTTCTTCACCTTCACCATGTACTTCCTAACGTTTCTCCTTTTCATCAACTATGTCTTGTTCCCAAACGCGAGTATTTGGAACGGCTTTATATTGGGCATCTGGTTCTACTGTTTGGCAAACGAAACAAAGAGTTGGGTGCTAGACAACTATTTCAGTGATACTGAGCCGACTAAAGTAGCTTTTCTGCAGCTGAAACGAAGCAGTGCCATGCCTCCATCGTACACAATTCCTTCTGTGAAAGAGCATAGGCCTTTAAAAAAGTATGAGGTAAATAACAACTAATTCAATAATTTATTGGATATACTTTTTATACAATTACTCCCTGGCAGTGATTGAGTTGCAACACAGTTTGTCAACTGAGCTATTATTGTGCAATAATATCAAATAAGTTGTTTATTACTCAGCAGTTGAGTCTCAATCATAACCGGAATACGTAATAATTTATCCTCATGATGAAACTGTACATAATAGTGTGAAACTTTTCAGGGCTGGATAAACCATTATAGATTTCCAGAATATGATCCTTACACCTACCATATTAATCAAACAACGACTGCTTTCATGAAACTTGAAGGTAAGATAAGATAAACTTGGGTGGTAAAAGAATCATACTTAGGCATGATGTAATAATATTTAATTTAAGACATTCTACCTACTAAAAATTAAAGAATTAAAGTACACAGTGAATAATGTAAGCAATAGTTTTGCTCATTATTTACTATGCCATCCGCTGTTTGTTCTCTGATCGACATTTACGCTCCGATAACTGCTGTTTACCTTTAATTTGATATTAACTTTTTTACTATACAGGTTGTAACTTGAGGATATCATATACCAGGACAAAGATTGCAAAGAGAGCTTTATGGGACGAGAAAATCGAGAACGTAGTTTTTTACCAGCACAGATTATACAACTTGACGGGAGCTCGGATTCTATTGCTGCCCAAAGGGCTCGTGAAGAGAAGGTAATATACAGGGTGTTATTTTTATACTTTGTCTTATGTTTCAACAGCATGAATTGTAATTTATATACATGCACAGAAAGACGCTACTTAAACATAACCAATTAAAAAACATATTCTACTACTCAAATGCGACTACTTTTTCTACAGGATCATTTTCAAATTCTCAAAAAAAATTACGTCCTCATACGTAAAATTGCGTACTAAATGGATTGCTGATAATAATTCGTATAAGATTTTTTTTTTAATAATTTTACCTATTTTACTTCGGTTCCTTGGAGAAAGTTGGTACATTCGAGCGGTACAATCAATCCTTTCTGTTTGATACACCCTGTATAAGCGTGTGTAGTAATGAGTCATGCCAGTATTACGCCACTCAGCCGGCTTAGACTTGTCGTATCGTATGCTTGACTTGACGCGTTTGTAAGTAACACCACTCCGTAGATAACGTTTAGGTCGCTGTAAGCAAGCGTGTTTATTATTTTGTTTGTGCAAGGACTGCTATCTTGCGATGAATAAGCTATGTATCTTTATTTGATAACCTCCAAAATTAGTTGCCAATGCCAGACTGTCTGTTAATCTGATAGACAATTTTAAAGTGTTACTCGGCCATTGTAGGATTCACGAATTCGAATGTACGTCAGCAAAGGTCTTAAAACGTCCTATTTTTAATTACTCCCGGTAGTCCCCTCTAGCACTTCCGAACTCTCCCCTTCCGGTTCGAGCCAGAGGGGATAACTGGTAACTTTTATCTCAATTATCCCAATCGAAGGGGTGATATTGATACGATTCCTTCCCATTTGTCCACTCCTTTCAGTGTATTTCAGGGGACTACTCGGAATAATTCGTCGGCAACCTTACATTACCTATTTATCAATGGCAATATAATACCTATAGTTTATTTTGCCCTTGCTCTTGAATGCTAAAAGGTTGCCGACCGCTGCTGTAAACAATGGAAAAATAGCTCTCGAATAACAAAAATAAATTAATAACATGATAATCTTTAATCATTTGTTTGTTCCGGCGTTTCTTCTCAGCACTTGCCATATGTTTGTCTCGAAGCGCTGGTAGGGCCCAAAAGATAAGGAGACATGTAAAGTGCCCCATAAAGGCTACCTTTTCTTTTTTATTATTTAATATATTTTGACGTTCATAAGTGCCACTTGTGGTCTAAACTGAATAAATATTTTTGATTTGGATTTCATGGTCTTGATTTTGGTCTAATGCAGTCCTATTAGCACTAACAAAGACATCGACAAGGTCTCGTCTCAACTACATTGTTAGACTGCGCCGGCGCACGGACCCGCTGAACCGAGGCAAAATAGGCTAATGACCCGTGTGATATAAACTTCATGCTAGCACTGACACGTTTCCAGCAAATAATTATTTTTACAAGTAATCGATCGCGGAAATCTATCGCTACCTGAAACAAATGGCCTTTTATTGAAACTAATTACGCTAATTTTTTATAAAAGCAATAAATAATAACTAAATTAAAACAGTTGACTAAATGCATTATGCTCATGTACAACAATATTTACATTGATAAATTATAATGAATCTATTATAACTTGTTTAAACAATCATCGGTAAATGATTAATGAAGATTATTAATAATTAAAATACTCTTAAATTGGAAAACAATGTTGATTGTTAACACTTTTTCAGGCAATGGAGCAAAAAATATCCCATCTGCATCGTACTGAACGAAAAAGAGAAAATACAAGTTTTGGAAAAGGAAAACGTGGAAGCGGAAAGGAAGACAGCGGAGGCTACGAATAGAAAGAGTAAGGAACAGCCAGAAGTAGAGAGTACAGAGACAAATACCAGCCCGGAGAAGAAACGCAAGTTCGTGTGGCGGAGACGGGAGAAGAGGTATGAATGTTTTATTTTAAACTTTATTGCTCTTAATACAAAAGCAAGGGGTACAAAGCCAAAGTTATACAGGGTGTTAGGTAAATGGGTATATGAGCCGACACTAGCCCATGTTAACATGGTCATATAAATGGTATGGTGAAGTCAGAAAATTGATATCTTCATTTTAAATTTTTACATTTTCATACAAAATAAATTTTATAAAATCCGACTTGTATGAAAATTAAAATAATTAAAATGAAGATATCAATTTTCTGACTTCACCGTACCATTTATATGCTCATATACCCATTTACCTAACACCCTGTATACCTAAGTTAAACATAATAAATAATAAATACATTTAATACAATGAATTTGCATTTAACAAGTGTCATTTTTTATAGTTACTTTTGTGAAGCCTCAATGTAACCTTGTTGGTGTTCAAATAAATAAATACTAATGCCCGTTTTCACCATCAATCCCTAATTTTAAGTGACCTCTAAACACAACTGGAATTTTATTTTCATAGGGATCACTTGAAAATTAGAGATCGATGGTGAAAATGGGCATAAGACACACAACTGTATTCCCAAACTAAGCGACTGAAGCTTAAAATATAGGTTGAGGCACAAAGTAAACTAAAATAACTGTCAGATTATGTATTTCTTAAACAAAAATACCTAAAACCTTAGTGATTGACATTCATGATATGGCCTTGTTTAAAACTATAAACTCTTCTGTTTAAAATTGAGTAATTGCCTCGTTTAACTTCATTAGCATTATGATATGAATCATTGTAATGGTCAATGTACCAAAAATGACGAATTATGTTAATTCCCTCTTAGCTATCTGTACACCGTATGTTTTTTTGCATCGAAACCAAATGATGTATTGACGGAATTCTTTGGATTCAATATTGATACAGCTAATACCAAAGAGAGTATTTCTTTGCAAAATGTTTGAACCATTCTTATCTTGCAGCATTTCCCACTCCGACGGAGAAACAGGTAAAGAAGGTCTTCGACACAGGCTTGTTAGAAAAATGCATAGAGGTTCGTATTTTTCATGCTCACTTACCACGTTTTAGACCACGTAAGTTTAAGTGAATTTACAATACACGGTGTAAGAATAAATATCATGCTAAAATTCGGATCGGATACAGTGTAAAACTGATCTGAAACTTTTCTTCAATTGTTTTATTATATTAACCGTGTACTGTAAATAGTTTTAGGACCTGGTTTTTAATAGTTTTCTTATGTACAGTCTACACTACAGCATATCTACCATCAAATATTTCAAGGTCCAAAGATTTATTATTATTTCGCAATCAATTCTGGACATTATTCGAAAGTACTAAAGTACAAAATCTATTGTAGATATGCTGTAGAATACATTAATTCATTTCTGTTTAAATAACCAAATAGACCCCTGGTCCTAAACTTTACTACGGCAATGGGCCAGTGTATTTAGCGATGCTAAGCACACATTTTTTATTTTTGCTAATTAATTTAGCCGTGCTATTTCATATGTGTAAATACGATTAGTTCTACGCTAGCACAGCTAAAATAAATTCCCATTATAACCACCTAGAACCAACCTGTCACCGCCTCGTGAATTTTAATTTTTTCTTCTGTATCATAGCAGGTTTACTATATAATTGTGCTTGCCGTTTTTTATTACCTTTATAATAAACGCCTATTTATGATAGCACCTACAAATACTTGTTCTACAAATCCACACTCACTATAAACAAACGTAATTTGCATATTTTTTATTTGTTTTCGTCTACACTATGTTTTATTCATACGATTTGTGTTAAAGAATTCAATGTCATCGCCTTTTCTATTTTTGAAAGTTTAATGCCTCCAAAAAGTTGTCTTAAAATTTTTAAGAGGTCAGATTAGATTTCCAGGTATTTATGTTAAAAACCTATTTTCTTTCATTGAGTAATAAATAACAATATAATACTTATGAATAAGTTGTAAAAACCACTGGTCATTTTCTTATGACGCAACATTTTTTTTCTTTAACTAAACCCGCCCTTTTTTTAAACAAAACCATTTTCTTTCAGACAAAAAGGCCGACAGCACAACAACATGCACAGAGACCGCCGAATCTCAGTCCGAGAAGAATGTACTCGAAGAGAGCTTGTTCCACGATGCTGAAATGGACCTGGCCACTAAATCGGTCACCAGCACCAAGGATGATGATGAAGAAATCGATGACAATGAGCTGTCAAAGATCAAGGAGTTCCTGGAGGAAGCCGTGAGTAATAACGGTGTTTCCAAACGCACGGACCGATCCAAAGCACGCGTGAGTAGAGTTGTTTATGATTGGCATCGTGACGTCCCCTCTCTGTTGGTGTGGGTAAAAAATTGGTTGTTTACCAGACTTATGTGTACTAGACAAGCTGTACTGAAATAAAATCTTAATCAATTATGACGTCATGATCAGAGCATACGAATCTGAAGTCTCGCTGACGTTTGACGTTACAAAAATACCGTTCCCGTGCCGCTCCTTTACCTCAAGAAAACATTAACATTATCTTCGTGCGTTTTTTACGTGTTATACTCCAATTTTAATTCTGAACACCTTGACTAGTCTACTTGAAGTCTATCATTTACATTAATATTATGATTAAAAGTACGTATGCCGACAACATGTACATATTTCTAATTGGCACAACACAAGTGTCCCGGTATTTGTTGACATTAATTAGTTCAAATATGTACTTAAACCGAGCTGGATTTTTGTACATTAACTATGTTATCTTTTTAAAACCGTTAGTGCATGCTAAGTTCATAGGTTGTATTAATTAAAGTAGTGCGTCATGTTTATTTATACATAATATACTGATTAGTTAATTAATTACTCATTGTGCTATCGATTAAGTGCACCGTTTATGACCCGCATGTTTATAATTCGTACGTGTGTGTTATTGTCATGGCATTTTAATTTTATTTAACGACTAGACCAATTAGTCTCTTAGTAAAGTAATTGGCATTCAATTCGATAAATATATTTTTAAACAACTATTACAGCGTCCTAAAGCCGGGTCCAGGCGGATGTAATGTGTAATGTAAGATTACGTGTAATGTAACAAGAATTCTACGTGTGGACGGCACTTCGAGCATTACATGTTAAGTCTTGCCCACATTATTTCCATTACATTATCACCAGTGTTTTTCAACCTTTTTCATGACACGACCTCCTGACAGTATGAAAAATATTTGGCGACCCCCCGACCATTTCACATGCATTACATGTTACAAAGATGTTTGTATGTACGGAATACTTCAATCCATACTACATTTTAATGCATTTGCATAATTAGATTTTGTATAAATCTGTCTTTATAACTAATTACACGATACATTCCATTACACGTTACACCCGTCTGGACCCGGCTTAAAGTACTGTAATGTTTGCTTGATGTGCTTTTGTCAGTATTATGTAAATAAACAAATAAAGTATGTATAATCGGGCCTTATTTGATCAGCTGCGCTGTGTTGACTGCTGCTTTTGTCAAAACATTATTTTATTAATCTTGTATGGCATGTGTACCAGACGACGCTGCAGCAAGGGTCGCTTCATAGTGTAATATGACGTGTAATATAACAATGTGTTTATATAAAAAAAACTGCGCTTCTACCTCGCCTGAAAAATTAAATAAACGCGTATAAAAACATTGTTAATTCAGGAGCAAGAAACCGGAGCAGACGGCGCGGTGGAAGGAGAATGGAGCGTGCACGTCAAACGCACCACGGACAGGCATTCCCACCTGTACTTATTCGCTAGGACGGGACGCGATAAGCACGAGTGGTAAGTTATGATAACGGCATTGGATAGAACAATAATACAACATCGTTTCAGCCAAATGACGTCGCTGTTAGACAAAGGCCTTCCCAAAAATTTTCACAACGACCGATCCTGCCCTGCCTGCATCCAGATAGGTAATGTTCTTCACGCGACCTACACCAGATCGTAGGTCCACACGGTGAACATGGTACAAAAATGGACCAATCTGTCACAAGATAGATGAAAGGTAGGCTGACGGGTTCTCCAATGAAGACCGCAATAAAATAGCGTCAAACAACCGCAGAGTTACTTGATACAACTTGACCTTCATTGGTTGGGTTTTTGTGGCGGTCAAGCTGTAGATCCTGGCTACACAGGAGTTGCAGTGGTGGGAACGAGAGGTGGGAATAGTCCCGTAACCGCAGAGTTAGGTAAGACGAAGAAAATTAAAGGAGGATATGAAATGGAAAAGGATGTGAAAAAAAGATGACAAGTCAAATCAAAGTCTATTTGCACAGTATTAGTTTCACAATAGTGATCGTGTCTTGAGTCCAGCAGTGAAGCAGATGTTAAAATAAAGAAGTTTTCGCTGCATTATGTATCCCTAATCTATAACTTATCCAACTATTAATAACGCCCATTTTCCTCTATCCAGGTATCGCCGCCTAAACACCGCTGTGTCAGAAGCCAACGCAGGGTCCCCGGATTCTTCAGCAGCCGAAGAGAAGACCAACAGCGACCCGGCTGCGGAAAACAAGGAAGGCATTGAGATGGCAGTTTACAAACTCGCTGAGAAGGAGACTGTTGCTTTCGCCAAAACGTTGGTAAGTGTCTTGAGGCGGATGAAACTACAATTTCTTAGAGACCGCGGACCCACGATGCACAAGGTCAAGCTTAGCTTACACCTGGATAAACACATCATAAGCCCACAGTATGTAAAATATATCGCCCCCGAAAGATACTGTACTACCTAGATGCAGTAGTAGGCCTAGGGCAGGGGTGGTTAGACATAAGATTTACTAACGAAACCCTGGGTGATCTACCACTTACATACTACTTGAAATCTCAAATGAAACAGCATAAGTTTAGTACACAATCATGTAGTATTTTTTGCCTTGCCACGATCGACTGGACTAATAGTCGCGATCGACCGGTTGGCTACCCCTGGCCTATGGTGTTAAGCTTTTATCGCGCCATTTTATCGATTTTACGAGATACCGATCGAACTATAAAAAATAGTGGTGATCACAATAGATCGATACCGGTCGCTGTGATACTAGGATTCCATTGAACAAGAAAAGCCGCTCAACAAAAAAGATTTGAAAAAACAGCTCATATTTATGAATTGTTATTTATTGAGGAAAATCAGTTCCTATCTATCATTTTCCTGTTTGCCGTTGGTTTTTCTACTTCTACGCAATTTGAGTCGCGTATTTTAAAATATTTACTATCGATAGGATCCAACTGTTGCTAGGCGGAAGTTTTGCACTGCGTAATTTTTTTTGATGCCTCTATACATGATCCCCCATACTAATAAAACTTACACGCTCGTTGAACAGTGTTTTAAATAAATAAATAAATATCCTTGGACATTTTACACTGCGCCGCTAGCCCCAAACTAAGCAAAGCTATGGGTACTAGACAACGGATATAAACATACTTAAATACTTTTTTTTTAAATACATACATCTATTATATAAAAGAAAGTCTAACTAGANGGGAGATGAGGGGGTACCACGCTGGGGCCGCGTAGGTGAGGCGCGACCGGACATACGTCTTGTAGACCATCAGTTTGGTCCTCAAGGGGAGCCGCGAGCCGAACGGAGAGTATGGCAGAAGAGAACACATGCGCTGCGGGTCAGAGATTTTGATATCTAATGCTTGGAAAGAGATAGCTATAGAGCTAAAAGATTGAGATAGTGAAAGTGTTATTGTGGTGAAAAACTCTGAGCAAATAATTGAACACATATTATATAGGGAGTAAGGTAAGTATTGTCATTGACTTATGTGGATCAGAATTTTGAAATGATAATTAATTTATGAATAAAACAATAAAATGTTACAATTAAATTTTATATTCTTATGAAATTCTTACTAACTAAGCTATGTACATTATTTATATATAAATAAACGCTACTTAAGTCGTAACACGGGGCAGGGGACTGGTGGCTGTCGTGCTCGCAGTTGGCGCTGGTATAATGCGAAAATCTGTAGAAGAAAAGAAAAGGTCATTAGTTACTGAAATTAATAATGCAGATGAACACCAATACTAATAATTGTAGCGAGAGCTTTGATACTAGATCATAACGAAGGATTGAAAGAAGGCAAAAGTGTGACACTTACGTATGGATGGAGCTCAGGCGTTGAGTCTGCGGAGAAGCCGCGGGTCTCGCGTCAGTCTCAGAGGCTGAGGCATCGCGTTGGGGGCCGCCTGTGCGTAGGGGAAGCCGTGACGCGGACATTCAGCACCGAACAGGCACGGATGGTATGGCAGAACACGGGCAGCACCATCGGCAATTTCCCCATTGGCACAAATACGTTCCTTCGATAATAATTCTTTACAATTATCCTGGGATGCTGACATGATGCCGTTTCTAAGGTTTTGTTTAGGAGCTTCACTCTGATGAATCAACGTGAAATGAATAAGCTTTACCCGAACCCATCTTTATCAGCTCATTAGGAACCTGAACGAGTGACGAATTCACCAAAGCGCACGAGCCAATCTTGGCACGCGCAGCGCGTGTGACAGAGAGCGCGATAGAGCTGGGGGTAGTGAATGCTGGGAAAGAGATAGCTATAGAGCTAAGAGATAATGAAATACAAACTGTTAATGATGTGAAAACTCTGCAAAAATTATTGGTTTAAAATGTAGGTACTGAGGAAGTGAGGTATTCATGTAGATCAGAGTTTGAAGATGGAATAATTTATTAATGCACGAATGAAACAATAATAACACTGGTCAACAAAAAATCAAAATTAAAATGGTGCCGAGATTCTGTTGATAGTTTATTATTAGGTGTGTATTAGTAATAATAAAAATATTTTTCTTTTTTTTTCCTACGTGTAGTTTTTGATCTAACCTCAGTTTTAAATTTTAGCTTTAATCGGTACTTTGTTTGCACAGTTTGTAATGTTATCGGTATATTTTTATAACGAAATTTATTTTAATATCATGTCTGCATTGCCAAGAAGTTGCCTCAACGATCCAAATGTAATTTGTTACATTTGTGATGTGTACACAGTTAAGAATTTCAAAAATTTTGACAAAATTTTAATAAAAAGTGCTTATTTTTCTTACTTTAAGTCGGAAATTGTGGTTGTTTTCAAGCCGTGGATACCCGAAATTGTTTGTATAATCTGCTGTGAACACTGAGGCAATGTTTCAATGGTCAAAAAAGCCATAACATGAAGTTCAGAGTGGAAAAAGTGAGGAAAAAACAAAAAAAAAATCTGGTTTGAACATAAAAAAAGGTCAAAGCAGTAAATTTTTGAGGGCCCACAAATAAGAATATTAATAAAAGATACTGATTTCTTAAGTTTGATGGACGTTTGGAACGATTTACGTGGACTTCGTTCGTTGAAGTAACTAAAAATTTTTTCGGAAATCACAGGACTAGTAACTATTATGAAATTGTGAGACATGCCCTAAAAACTCAGGATGTAATAATTTTATCAAAGGGCACTACCTCCACAGTCATCTTGATCAATTCCCAGAGAATCTTGGGTCACTATAGCATGCTATAGCTAAGAACAGGGAGAGCGATGCTATCAAGACCTAAAAACCATTGGAAGAGAGGTACCAAGGCAGATGGGATAGCTATATGATGGCTGATTACTGCTGGAGGATGTAACGTGATAGTTCTATTACACCTCATTCACAAAAGTCGTGGAAAAGAAAGTTTTTAAGCACTTCAAAATATTATAAACGCTGATTTTAGTGAAATTTTGAATTTTTCTATACACATCAAAATCTAGAAAACTACACGTAGGAAATCAACAACTTTGCTACTAAAGCAACCAGCATAAGGTCCTTAATCAAAAAATATATACAGTTCCTTGGCACCAAAACTACTGTTGACCAGTGTAATTGATTACAATAAAATTTTATTTTGTTAATAATCATTACTAACCAACTAAGCTATGTGCAAGAAATAAATATTCGCTACATAAGTAAGTCGTGACTGAACACACTGGGCAGGGGACTGACGGCTGTCGCGCTTGCAGTTGGCGCTGGTATGATGCGAACACAGATCACAGAAACTAAAGGGAGATGTGACAAGGGGGCGGGGCCGGTGTCTCATCAATATGCCCAAAAACAGAACACATTGCTCGTGATAGCAATGATTACAGCAGCAACGTCATAATGTAAACATTGCTTGCGTAGTACCTACTAAAGATTATTCGAACGTTGTGTACTGATACCGCAGTGGATAATAAACACATTTTTGAATACTTTGTGTGTGTGAATTTTTAATTTCTAATACGACACGAGTTTCGAACTCGGCGCATTAGTTGACATCTCTATTATCTCTATGGATGCGAAAAAAGAGCGAATACTACCTACTCGTAGATGTAGCCTTAGATGTGATTTTTAGTGTTTTATTGTATTTACTTTGTGTTACCTACTTTATTTTTTTAAATAAATAATTTTTAATTTTGTACAGTACTTTTTATTCTTTGAATTGTAATTTAATTTTGTATGTAATTTCTATATAATAAAACTTTGTCAAAGTTTAGATAATTGATTCCAAGTCCAACTGACTTTTGACTCCATTATGTCTGATGGAGTTGGGTTTATCTGAGTGTGATGTACAAAGTGTACCTACCTAAATTGTGTGTGTGGTTTAAAAAAGTTTATGAATGAAAGAATTGCTTGTGATACAATTTTATATTTCAAAAAAAATCTTAATTAGTACATTAAACAAAAGTAAGTAAAGTATAAAGTAGCTACTATAGGTACAACGTCGTAGGAGGTTGTAGCTGTATGAACACATTTGGCAGGAACTGGGGCGGCGCGGAGATCATCACTATCAGACTCAGCTCCTTGCACGATTCGGGATACTGAGGAAGAAAAGAAAACAGTTTTAGTATATTGCTAAATATGAATAGGTACAGAAATAACAGAGAGAGCTTGAACTCAATTTTGAATCTTAAAATGAAACCCTATCCTATCTATAAAAATCCATTTAGTGCGTTATAGTGTATCTATCTATACTTACACATAGAGTGCGCGATCTTTGCGTCGGCGATCGCGGCGCGGGTGACGCGTCGGCTGCGGAGAAGCGGGCGTCGCGTCAGCAATGGCGTCTCGATGGCGGACATTGATGGTTGGCGCTGGCTCAGGGATGGCGGCTCGCTCAATGTGTCGGCGGAGGAGCTTCGGACGCCGCATCTGAGGCGTGCGGTCGGGCGTCGCCTCGTCTTGAGCTACGTGTGAGTACACGCATCTACGGAGTAGGCATTCCACTCCGTACTTGCAACGAGGGTTGCTAGGAATGCTGCAATTCCCCGGCTCTTTTTCTGGCTTGGGAACAGGTTCTGTGGACAAAAAATCAATAATAAAAATATCGGTTCTACCAGTCTTAAGGTAGAAGGTCGTTTGATTAAATGATATTAACTACGTATAAATTGAAAAGAAAACTTCACTAATTTTAGAATTATAAAAGAAATTATTTTCTGGGCAAAATAATTTTCTTTAAAGATCAAGTTTAGACATTTTATGAAGAAAATAAAACAAATAGTAAACAAAGCATTAAAAATTGATAGAATAAAGTACCTTTTTGGAATTCACCCAACCGCAGGTGCGATAAAACCGCCTTCCTCATTCTTTGGCTGAATCCAACTGCAGCGAACTTTCTGTCAACTGGCCGAGCCGGAACAGCTGCTACTGAAGATACAGCTTGGGTAATGTCTCCATCGCCACTAATCTCCTCGGAATAAACTTGGGTGGCTGACATGTTGGCAATGAAATTCAACGTGAACTGAATAATTTTACCCAAACCCGTCGTTAAGGGCTCATTAGGGTACTTGGATTAGCGATGAATGTAACAGAGCGCACGAGCCAATCAGGACACGCGCAGCGCATGCGACAGAGAGCGCGATAGTGCTGGGGGAGTGAATGTGGAGAAAGAGATAGCTATAGAGCACCGATTGCAGTACTTATCAAATCTATGCACAGAAACTTTGTTATCAATGTTAATTTTAAAATACACATACGCTGCATACGCATGATGGTTCATCATAGTACTTTACCCACATACCTACTACGTTACAATTACAACTAAGTATATCAACTTAATACGAAGTTCATTCCTTTACATTTCTTTTATTTTGAGTTAATTACAAAGTTATGCTTTTAATCTATACACTTCTTATGTCATAAACACAAGAATGTTGGTTGTGGTGACATTGCACATTCATCGCAGTAGCTATTTTTGAATTAGTACTAGTAATAATGAAGACTGCGTGTAGTTTCAAATTAATAAGAAGGACATTGGCATTTTTATTTTATTTATTTACTTTTATTTTTATAACTATTACATTTTTGATTTAATAGTGTCTGAAATCCTACTGAGGAATTTTAGCACTAATACTATAGTTGTAGTGATAGAACAGTGATTTAGAGTCATGAGTGTAAAAAGGACAAAATATTTTCAAAATAACCACGTGAAATTTATTAAACGCATCGTGTAAGAAAGAGACAACGGTACATGCATAGCGCTATCTCTTACGTACACGATGCGCACTGGTTACGTGTCGTGCCCTGGCGCCGCATACGCATAGTTGATCGTCGCGCGTTGCACGAAGAGGACGCGCACGGTTCAAGCGGTCCTGCGTTGCCTGACAGAGCTTCCCGCACCTTCAGATCGTCGGTCCACCGAGTGGGAGGCCGACCTACGTTTTCCAGTCTTCAAGTTCCGGTCAAGCTGCCGCTTGCTGAATTTCTACTGAATATTTCTTGTTCTAACGACGAACGTTAAAACCGTTTTTTTCAGAACGATGGAGAACATAGTTCTCAATATTATTCAAGGGAGATGGGATATTCTCATCTTGTTGAATATTATTCTTTCTCTGTTTCTTTTTCGAGACACAAAAGAAAAATAAGCAGTTCTTCTCAGAACGACAGAACATAATTATTCCCAATTATTCAAGCAACACAGGAAGACGCTCGCTGAATTATATTAGGATTTATTATATCCTATACATGTTTAAAAACAATTGTGTTTGGGTTCATAGTAGGTACCTATTAATTTTGATAAACACACAACACATTATCATTTCAACCACGACGGGAAGCATAACTGCTACTAAAAGTTGTGGTCCCAATATTCTTCCCTGCGGTACCCCAATGGGAACCGGATGCATGTCGCTATCTATCCGGAAAATTTGCTCCAAAGTCCATGCCGAACGGAAAGTATGGCAGAACAGAACACACGCGCTGCTGGTAGCAACTTGAGTTGCACCATCAGTGGGCTGAGTGTGAGTTTGCGCATTTAAAAAATGTATGAAAATTTATCATTTCAACCACGGGAAGCATTACGGCTACTAAAAGCTGTGGTCCCAATATTCTTCCCTGCGGTACCCCAATGGGAACCGGATGCATGTCGCTATCTCTCCGGAAAATTTGCTTACGGTCAATGAGGTAGCTCCTTAACCACCTTACATGTCTCTCTCTTGATCCCGTAATTTTCAAGTTTGCCTAGAAGTAGGTATGGGTTTTGTATTGATACGGTGTCGAAGGCCTTGGCGAGGTCCAGAAACACGCCCATACAATGACAATTTGTATCATACCTTACACACAAGAAATGTCATCTGCTTCTGCAGGTGAACAGCATCCTCCTGAAACTATATTGACGGTTCCTCAACAGGTTGTATAACTATAAAGTCAAGGTAGCTTGACAAATGGTTATAAAGTCCATACCGAACGGAGAGTATGACAGAACACAAACATGCGCTGCGGGTCAGATATTTTGATCTCTAATGCCTGGTAAGAGATAGCTATGGAGCTAAGAGATTGAGGTAGTGAAAGACAGTGTTATTATTGTGAAAAACTATGAGCAAATAATTGAATACATATTCAGGGAGTAAGGTAAGTATTGTCATTGATGAATTTATGTGGATCAAATTTTGAGATGATAATTAATTTATTAATAAAACAATAAAAGGTTACAATTAAATTTTATATTCTCATGAAATTTACTAACTAACTAAGCTATGTACATTAATTATGTATAAATAAACGCTACTTAAGTCGTAACACGGGGCAGGGGACTGGCGGCTGTCGCGCTCGCAGTTGGCGCTGGTATAATGCAAAAATCTGTGGAAGAAAAGAAAAGGGCATTAGTTACTGAAAATAATAATGCAGATGAACAGCAAAACAAATAATTGCAGCGAGAGCTTTGATACTAGATCATAGCGACGGATTAAACGAAGACAAAAGTGTGTACACTTACATATGGATGGAGCTCAGGCGTTGAGTCTGCGGAGAAGCCGCGGGTCTCGCGTCAGTCTCAGAGGCTGAGGCATCGCGTTGGGGGCCGCCTGTGCGTAGGGGAAGCCGTGACGCGGGCATTCAGCGCCGAACAGGCACGGCTGGTACGGCAGAACACGGGCAGCACCATCGGCAATCACCCCAACGCCACAAATACGTTCCTTCGATAATTCTATAGAATTATCCTGGGATGCTGACATGGTGGCGTTTCTAAGGTTTTGTTTAGGAGCTTCACTCTGATGAATCAACGTGAAATGAATAAGCTGTACCCGAACCCGTCTTTATCAGCTCATTAGGAACCTGAACGAGTGACGAATTCACCCAAGCGCAAGAGCCAATCAGGGCACGCGCAGCACGTGCGACGGAGAGCGCGATAGTGCTGGGGGCAGTGAAGGCTGGGAAAGAGATAGCTATAGAGCTAAGAATAATGAAAGAGAAAGTGTTAATAATGCGAAAACTCTGAACAAATAATTGGATTAAAACTACTCAGGGAGTGAGGTATTGTCAGTGATGAATTTATGAAGATCAGAATTTAAGATGAAATTTAATAATTTATTTATTTATTCATAAGAATAAAACAATAAATTAATTACAATAGAATTTTATATTCTTAAGAAATCCTTACTAACTAAGCTATGTACAATAAATAAAAATAAAACCAATCACGTTGAGATTAAACTTAAAATATCGTCAAATATAATAACAGACACAAAAGAAATATGCAACCATTTTAACTCGTTTTTCTGTACAATAGGCTTAGAATTAGCTAACAGGATTCCGCAGAGATTTCACAACGGTTTAACATACACAATATCATCAAAAAACTCAGTAACCGAAACCAATGAATTATCAATATTAAACCCAACTAAAAAGACAGAAATCACAAAAATTATTGATGAAATGGACGCAAACACAAGTGCTGGCATAGACGGAATTAGTACTAAAGCTATCAAATGCATTAAGAATATTATTGCCAGTAATTTAGCTGAGAGTGTCAATAAATGTTTCTCTGAGGGATACTTTCCGAATTCTCTCAAGATTGCTAAGGTCACACCGATACACAAATCTGGCAGCAAAATGGACCCTAACAACTATAGGCCTATATCGGTGTTACCAGTATTGTCCAAAATTTTTGAAAGACTAATTTACGACCGCTTGTCTAGTTACTTGTCATCTATTAACTTCTTTTTTACAAAACAGTATGGTTTTCGGCCCAAATCAAATACTGTTTCTGCTACTGTAGACTTAGTCACAAGAATTAAAACAAATATTGATGAGAAAAAAATTACATTAGGAATATTTATCGATTTACAGAAGGCTTTTGACACGGTCAGTCATGAAATACTCTTACTGAAGCTAAAAAGCGTGGGTGTTACAGGTGTGGCTTTTGAAATTTTTAAATCGTATTTGCAGAACAGACGCCAAATTGTTAAGATTGGCAATGAGCAGAGTGAGCCCCGGACAGTTTCTTGTGGTGTTCCGCAGGGATCGATCCTGGGCCCCTTACTGTTTCTCATATACATTAACAATATAAGTGAAATAGGCCTCCATGGGGACGTCTTCCTATATGCGGATGATACAAGTTTGTTTTACTCTAGTCATTCTCTCGATGATATAATAAACCAAGCACAACATGATTTGAATACCCTTCATGACTGGCTTCAGTCAAACCTACTAACAATTAATATATCAAAGACAAAATATATAATTTTTGCAGCTAAAAATAAAAAAATACCTAACTATAGTCCTTTAAAGATAAATGACACAATAATTCAAAAAGTTAATACGGAAAAATATCTCGGCCTAGTTCTTGATAACCAATTAACGTGGAAAGCGCATATAGATACTGTTTGTAATAAACTAACATCATTAACTGGTGCTCTAAAAGGGATGGCAAGATGTCTCCCAAATCACGTGAGGTACACTATCTATAACTCGTTAGTCAAATCGCACTTAGACTACTTAATTGAAGTATGGGGATCAGCAGCGAAAATACATATAAATAAATTAAAAATTGCACAAAATAAATTAATCAAAATTTTATTCAGATACCCTTACCTCACACATACTAAAGTAATTTACGAAGAAACTAAACTAATGAACCTTACCCAGATATACAAATATAACATATGTATACTCGTAAGAAAAATATTAACGAAAGACATTCACAGCGAAATAACGTTTACTAAAAAATTTACTCATAATAAACGCTTAACAAGGCAGGCAAATAATATTTGCTTAAATTCACCGCGTACCAACTACGGAAAAAAAACCATTATTTATGAAGGAGCCCAGACCTACAACAAGCTACCAAAAACAATAAAAGATTGTCAGTCTCTTTACATGTTTAAAAAATTACTAAAGGCTCACATTTTAAGGGATTTCTCGTAAATATATTTAGCTAAGATTACTATTTTTGTTATATTTTTTTTATTATTTTTTATTATATAGATTCAGATTTAAGTTGTAAGATGCTCGCAATAATATTATACATTTAAAGTTGGTATTTAAAATATGTTGTACATCTCAACATTTTTTGCAAATTTCAATAGCGCGTTATCGCATTGTACTGTGCTATCACCCTTAAGTGAATATCCCCACTAAAAGTAGTCGCAAGTCGCAATACGCTTAGCGCGCAGCGTCGAACAACTCAATGTTTGAATGTTTTCAAACATACCCACATTTAAAATGCTAGTTGGTAATAATGTATTTAATTGTAATGAATTGTATTTGTGTTTTCTCTATAAGTGGATTTTGTAAATTCTTTTGAGAAAATAAATGTCTTTAACCGTATTTGACTTATCTTTCTATTAAATAAGTAGATCATAGAATTTAGAATAAAGCAAATTCAAATTTTCCTCTCTATAAAGACTAAAACTAAACTTTCTGATATCTTAATCTAGAAACACACATACCAATAAAATTTTCGAGTTGTTTAGGAATCCGCTCAACAAACCCCGTTTTGCAATAAGACGCCTTAAGCCGGGGGTTTGCATCCAATAGATGAGGAAAACACTGATGTAAACTTAACATGCATCAGATTCAGAATCATTGAACACAGTAATAGTTTGAACTTTTTAAAGGCTAGTTTTTGTAACTAATCTATGGGATTTTTGTAAGATATTTTACATCTAAAATCATACCATATCAAAAGACAGCTTGGTTGGTTATTTACTAGTGGATCGGTGGGTGTGCGCAGCCGCGGCCCATACCGGTTTCACAGTTGTTTGGCGACAGTCGCGTATTACTTATTCATACAAACTTGATCACCTGCGACTGGGCATGTGCTTTTAACGGAGTAGTTATAAGGAATTTGCTCACTTACAACATTTATCCGAGAATAACTCCTGGTATAACTGGCACATTGACAGTTTCAGTACCTATAGGAAATATGTCAAAATGTCGAATAACTGACGATTTATTCTGAGATTAATATTTACTCTTGTTTGGTCGAATCTACCCTTAGTTAACATTTATTTTCTGAAATGTTATACAAGCGACAAATGAATTGCAATTTCTAAAAAGTTTGAAACGTCTTAGATAGATTTAAATTCTTACTTATTTTTACAATCCAAACACTCGCACCACTATTTGAATTGTCTACTTTTGCCTGTGACAAAGCAAATAAATGTAATGGAAAAATGCAGTTTACATATTTAACCGAAGATCAGCCTCATTTCACAAACATTTGCTCTTCAAATAGTGATATCTGAGGATAATTTATGCTAACGAAGTAATTGTTTCGTTTATTTAATAATTTTCAATCATTTCAATGTTATTATTATGCTAACTTTCAGACCAGAATATCGTAAAAATTCGGCCAGCCAGTGTGGCGATTGATTTGTCCTCTATTCGTCTCTGGTAAATTAATGATTATGCTTCTGCAGTGGAGACTAAATGACCTGGTGATGATGATAAAACAATTGATCGATTGATTCATCCGACTGATTTCGGCCATGGCGAACAATTCGACTTCTAAACTTTCTTGGCGGCGCTGGTGCGCCCGAAAATGGCTCACTTAGCCGATCTTCGAAAAATACGTGTCTAGTATTTTTTGATAAGTTAACTGACGGACTAATTCAAACTCTTTTTATCCAGGAAACATCCCTATTCTCGCTTAAAACATTTTGCCCCAGATTTAAAATTCCACAGTCTTCACAAATATCTCTTATCAAGGCCCCTCTATCCCCAGGCTCTCTCCGAGAACATCTCCGGAGTGATCCTCTTCCACGAGACGCTGTACCAGAAGGCGGACGACGGCACGCCGCTGGTCAGCCTGCTGGAGAAGCGCGGCATCATCCCCGGCATCAAGGTCGACAAGGGCGTCGTCCCGCTGTTCGGATCTGAGGACGAGTGCACCACCCAGGGTAAGAAGATAGCAGCTTTTTCGTATGTCCCCTTAGTCTGTGTGTCCTCTCATTTCAGCCAAAGGACGTCCACACTGTGATCTGAAGACCAGTGCATAGGTGCAGGTTAAGAAAGTAAAGTAACATGTCTTTTTTGGCAGTCCATAGTCTTTGTCTTTCCTCTCATTTCAGCCAAAGCACGTCCACAACTAGACTCAGGGCCTTCGAGGGTTTCCCGGCACTTGATCTGAGAACAGGTGCACCATTCAGGTTAAGAAGCAACCGTAGTGTCTGCATATCCCCTCATTTTAGCCAAAAGATGTCTACTGCTGGACCAAGGATTCCTACAGGACTTCCAAAGTGACCAATCCTGCATGGCACTCAGGGTAAAAATCTACCATAGTCTCGCGTCTTTCCTCTTCTTTACCATTTTAGCCGAAGAACGTCCTCTGCTGGACAATGGTCTCCTCCAAGGACTTCCACAATAACCGGTCCTGCGCTACCCGCACCCAGAAACTTCTAGTGACCTTCACCAGAACCTAGAAAGCCTTCTGCTGGACAAAGGCCTCCCCCAAGACTTTCCACAATAATTGATTCCGCGGTACCCGCATCCAGGTGCTTCCAGCAACCTTCATCACATCATCGGTCCTCCGAGTCATGTATTTTTGGTCCATGCTTACTCGAGAACTTTTAGCCCCAACGGTCATCAGTACCACGAGCTATCTGCTCCGTCTGTCCACATACACTTTCACGCCTTGTCTATCTTATGATAGAAACAAGCACGACCTGCCAAGACGTTATCTTATTGTGAAGACGCTTGCAAATTAAGTGAACAGTTCGCTACAGGTCTAAATAAAAGTTTAAAATAAATAGCAAGTTTTAGCGACGTTTTTGATACGGGCCTAAGACGTTTGGCGTATCTCCAATGAATGCAAGGTGAATATTATTCTCATACATGTGTAGGTAAGTTATGTAACGACTGGAATGGTCTATGTCATTCGTCTCCGTACCCAAGTCAAAATGTCTTTCGTTTTATTATCGACTTATCACATGTGAAATTATCATTTTATTCACGAGGACTGTAAAACCATTCGAGGGGTTATTTAAGTAGCGGGTTCTTTTATAGCTGCGATAGTGGGGTCATTAAGTAATCGATTGCTTTTGGAAATATTCCGATGGAAAATTTATGCATACAGTCTGTGTCAGACTTACGGCCATCTTGGAAACAAATGGTCAACTGACATTGACAAATAATTTTCCATGACTGATGTTGTGCATATAGAAGTTGTAAAACGTAACTTTTCCAGTCCATAACTACTCAATAAACTCGGGTATTGCTTGCGAAAACATATTAATTATGTTTTATTGGTGTAAAGGTTCCTTATCACATTGTTAATTAGTACTTATACTGTTTGTGTTCCAAATATAGAAAAATAAGATAAAAACAAATAAAGCAATAAAATATTGACATAAATTAATCGATATGCTGTGCTGAGACGTCAATACTAATTATTTAACCTTTAAAATACACAATCAGGACTATTCCCATCTCTCGTTCCCACCGCTGAAACTCCTGTGTAGCCAGGATCTACAGCGTGACCGCCAATAAAAACCCAACTAATGAAGGTCAAGTCAGTTGATCTATAACCCAGGCCTTTTCAAGGCAAGAGTGAAAAGACACTTAAGACTGCATCTCACTTAACATCAGGTGTGATTGCGGTCAAATACCTACCACGTTCTTCATAAAAAAGACAATCGTTCAAGCTAACATTATTCTTTCTTCCAGGTCTGGACGACCTTGCCCAGCGCTGCGCCCAGTACAAGAAGGATGGTTGCCACTTCGCCAAGTGGCGTTGCGTGCTGAAGATCGGTCGCAACACGCCGTCCTACCAGTCTATCCAGGAGAATGCTACTGTTCTGGCCCGCTACGCTTCCATCTGCCAGAGCCAGCGTATCGTGCCCATCGTGGAGCCCGAGGTCTTGCCTGATGGTAAGTCTGACCTTGTCAAAGAATCTCTTAGCCAAGTGGCGTTGCGTGCTGAAGATCGGCCGCAACACGCCGTCCTACCAGTCTATCCAGAACGTTACTGTTCTGGCCCGCTACGCTTCCATCTGCCAGAGCCAGCGTATCGTGCCCATCGTGGAGCCCGAGGTCTTGCCTGATGGTAAGTCTGACCTGATCAAAGAATCTCTTAGCTAAGTGGCGTCGCGTGCTGAAGATCGGTCGCAACACGCCATCCTACCAGTCTATCCAGGAGAACGCTACTGTTCTGGCCCGCTACGCTTCCATCTGCCAGAGCCAGCGCATCGTGCCCATCGTGGAGCCCGAGGTCTTGCCTGATGGTAAGTCTTCCCAGGTCAAAGAATCGCTTGTCCAAGTGACGTTGCTTGCTGAAGATCGGTCGAACCAAAGTGCCCTAGTACCAAACAACGTTACGATTAGCCATAAGCTTAAAATGAGTGGTCACTTTTACCATATTATGTAAATTTTAAAACCATAAAGCTAAAGGCCCGGTTCAGCCCCCATTCGCGGTAGTGATTTATCAGAGATGCCGAACTACCAATAGATTACTATAGCTAATTGATGTTGAGAATCATTTCATCATATTTAAATCGTAATCGTAGTTCGCCCACATTGGCACAATGGCATTTCTACACTAGCAGAGACAGAATAAATTTGCTGTCTGTATCTAACTCCAGATTCTAGGAAAGAAATTATTCTTATTCCAATTTGCTCTGTTCAGGTGAGCACGACCTTGACCGCGCCCAGAAGGTCACCGAGGTGGTGTTGGCTGCCTGCTACAAGGCTCTCAGCGACCACCACGTGTTCCTCGAGGGTACCCTGTTGAAGCCCAACATGGTAAGCTTTCACATTTAGCCCATCTCAACGCTGGGAGATTGACGCTTTTAACAATGATTGTAACTGAACAACTCATAAAACTCATTTTATTTTGCAAGTAGGCTTTTAAAAAGCAACTTTACACGTCCCAGTTATAACCCTACCACTGCTTCGGAACAATAAATGGACCAGTGCTGAGAAGAAGCAGCACAAGAAAATCAGTCACTATTGTCAGCCTATTTGTCAAGTAACTAGACTATGATAATAGAGAACAAGAGAGGGTTTTTTATACATGGCGATGGCATTACATAAGTGTCATCGACTATGACCCTTGACACACCGATCGAGTCAAGAAATTCTTTTTCATCAATACAAATGTTCAAAAATGGAAACGATGTGAAAAATTAAACAATGTCTGTACTTTGAGAAAATGGCACAACTATGTTTATTTTTCATACAAAAGGGTCATGTCATATCATATCATAGTTGACAGAGTAGTTAGACGGGCGCCCGCAGTGAGTGTGCGAGCATGACAGCAACATAATTACGCGCGAGCGATAAGGATGGGTAGCTTGGGGTCATTGGACAAAATTCTACGTGCTCGGAGACCGGGCTTTAGTATAGAAATTGACTGATATTTGTTGCCCAGGTGACCGCCGGCCAGTCGTGCAAGAAGACGTATACTCCCATGGACGTCGCACGCGCTACCGTCACCGCTCTTCTCCGGACCGTGCCCGCTGCCGTTCCCGGTAAGTCAAGAAAACTAGTGTTGTTCCACGATATCGATACTATCGATATTATCAGATTACAGACAATTTTTCTGGATACCTTTCTTTTGCTTCTGGTGAATTAGATAGTCTAATTAGTCACTTGACGATGATGATGATAAGGAGATCAGAATATGTACCCACGATTATGGTTATTACTTAATTACTACTTCATTCATTACTTTTCGATAATATAATATGCCTGATAGATTTATCACTAGGAACTTATCTGCCAGATAAACTACAAGTTTTGGTTTCACATTCTGTTATACAGCACCTTTTGTTAGATAGCAATAGATCAATGTATCTGAAACTTTAAGAGGAACCTGTTGTCCTCTTCATTCATGTAGGTCCATTCAATTAGATCACGCAACAATAGCTGTCAAACGTAAACACTGTCTTTCCCGATGACTATAATCGGAGCCTTTTCAAGGCGAGAGTGAATAGGCACTTACAAGGCAGATATGTACCATCCAAGACTGTATCCCACTTAACACCAGGTGCGATTGTGGTCAAATACCTGCCTTGCTATGAATAAAAAAACTGCGTAAATATGCCAATCAAAAACACCCCCTATTTCCAGGCGTCACATTCCTCTCCGGTGGCCAGTCTGAGGAGGAGGCCTCCGTCAACCTGAACGCCATCAACGCGGTTGACCTCAAGCGACCCTGGGCCCTGACCTTCAGCTACGGTCGCGCTCTCCAGGCGTCCGTGCTCCGTGCCTGGGCCGGCAAGCCTGAGAACGTTCTCGCTGGACAGCAGGAGCTTCTGAAGAGAGCCAAGGTGAGGGAATTTGAGCCTTATGGCTGAGGAGTTTAAGTGCAGGGAATATGGTTTACAGGCCTAACTGAGGTGTGGGTTTGGTTGAGGGAAACTGGATCTTATGGCGGAGGAGTTACGGTCGTGCTCTCCAGGCGTCTGAACTCCGTGCCTGGGCCGGCAAGCCTGAGAACGTTCTGGCTGGACAGCAGGAGCTTCTGAAGAGAGCTAAGGTGAGGGAATGTGGGCCTTATGGCTGAGGAATTTAGGTGGAGTTTAGTGTGGTTTACAGGTCTAACTTAGGTGGGGGTTTGAATGTGGGAAACTGGGTCTTATGGCTCAGGAGTTACGGTCGTGCCGTCCAGACTTTAGTCCAAGCCTGAGCCGGGAAGCCTAAGTACGTTCTGGCTGGACATCAGGAGCTTCTGAAGAGAGCTAAGGTGAAGGAATGTGGGCCTCATGGCTGAGGAGTTTAGAGGGTTCAGCGAACATACCTAACAGATCTACAGTTTAGTTTTTGAAAAGTTTCGATAGATGGAGCTATTTGTAATTTGGTCTGTGTATGTTTTTTACTGTTTATTTATTGCTTACTAATCTGTTGTGTTGCTTTTTATGTGTTGTGTTAATTATAATAGTTGCATGCAGTAGATAATAATGAGATAATATAAGAAAACAAGTTATTATTGTTTTTTAAGCTTTATGGAACCAACATTTCTTAATACATTATTATAATCTTCATAATATTGTTTGAGTTTGATAAAATATGAAAACATCACTTCAGAATCAATAATAATATTTTCAAAAAGTATTTTCAAAAATTGTTGTCCCAATTCCGTGACAATTATTTTTTCTATAAAAAATCAATGAATGTGTAGCACATTGGCCAAGAGTATAGTCGTAACAGAAAGTGTAGCCGTTTTAATGTATTTTATAAATCACACACTCAGTTTGAGAAACTTTGGTTCTACTAATTCTCACTGTCGTAATATTTCCCCTAGAAGTAGTACTAATTAGTGTGTTTTTTTTCTCCACAACCATCCTCCACGCACACGACGACGCCATGGCACCACGTGAATCACGCGCATTCTATATTTAAACTTTTAATGTTACTTAAACGGAATGGCACTCTATTCCTTTGCCAATTTAAAAAAAAATTAAACTTATTTGTAATCTGTAAACGGAATGGCATTTTATTCCTTTGCCAATAACATTGTTTACCATTTATAATCTGTATTATTTTCTTTTTTGTTCATTCATGCTTTCTTTTCGTTCTTTTGGTAATACGTCTGTACAATTTTAAAAACAATAGGCTAACGGTCTAGCCAGCCAAGCCAAATACGTAGCTGGTTCGATTCCGTCTTTAGCTGCCTCAAAATCCAACTTTGTTAAGTCGCACGCCTACTAAAATGTTATCTTTAAAGAGTTTATGGTTAAATCTCGAATTTTTCGATTTACACAGAGATTTTAAATTATTGAAACAATCATGAGATAAAGAGTCTATTTATAAATGATTTTAAAACTTATCAGCTCTCTTGGTTGTTATACAAATTGTTATTAAGATCAGATTTTAACAATCGAGAAGGACTTTTGTATGTTATGTAATGATCATGGCGGCTGACTACTACGCAACGATAAATGATTAATATTCCAGTGAATTACAGTTTTTATCCTCTACTGTTTTTGTATTATTAAAATCACCACTACTAAAATTTTCATTCTCAGTGTAGAATACATTTTAGTTTAGTGTTCCTAGATTAGTTGCTATCATTTACATTTCACCCTATAAACTAGCGAGGAAACACTGTGATCTGACTTTACCCTTTTGAAATACATAATAACTTTTATTCTACTACTAGCTGACCCGGCGAACTTTGTTCCGCCTTAATGGCAATAAATAAGCAGACTTTTTTTTATTTCGAACGGGATAAAAAGTATCCTATGTCCTTCTCCTGGCTCTAAACTACCTCCCTGACAATTTTCAGCTAAATCGGTTCAGCCGTTCTTGAGTTATAAGCGAAGTAACTAACACGACTTTCTTTTATATATATAGATTTGAATGAATTAAATTATGTTTACTTTCTCAAAATAATGAAAATTTGATTTAGGTCACTGTGGTTCTTTGCCAAAACTTGTTATAATGCATGGTGAGTTGTTTTTTTACATTCCGTTCTGACTTACTGTACTTATTTAGCTTAACAAAACATTATTTACTAAATGTAGTTAAAGCTTATGTACTGAAATTGCCTTTTCTGTAGCTAATAAAATACCGCTATATTATGTAGGTATTTGCATTGCTCTGTTTACGTATTTCGTTAGTTGTTATTATGCACAATAAAAAACTTTATTATGCTTTTTGCGTGTTTTTAGTATTGCTGTATTTATGTACTATATTTTGAAAACCCTTTCATATATTTGGACCTGAACACCATAGACAATTTTCAAAGGTACACATCAGTTTCTGAATACAATGAATATTTAATCGGACTATTAAATTGAGCTTATTTCTCAATCCACTGATACATTACCTTGAGAAAGACGACAGCACATCAGACAATACATTTTCGTTGCAAAGTCGCCCTTATCGCAACTACGTAAGATACCACAGTGCTTACGTTGACGTGCTGTCGACGGTCTATGCCTATGGTACTTGCGTTCACTAGATGGCGCCACCAGATGTAACTGGTGGCGTTGAAGCGGTGAGAGCTATCGTGTTTGCTCTTGCCAAGAGATGGCACCACTGGCGTAATATGGGCTGTATCCCTATGGCGCAAGTACACTATGCGGAATATTGATCGAGACGAAGCGCGAGAACGTACACCGAAGTATGGGCGACTCGCGGCGAAACTAACCAAAGTGCGTGTTTACACGTACGTCTCGATCAATTTCCCTCATAGTGTACTTGCGCCACTAGACAAGTCACAAAACGCGACAGTTGTAAATTCGAAAACCTTTCGCTTCGGCGTTATTTTATGTAGTTACTTCGTCTCTAGAAGCGATTTCGAAATTACAACTGTCACTTTTGTCTAGGGGGAATGTCACCCTAAAGTTTAGATAAGTGTTACTTGACTATTAATATGGCATCTTGTTATTGAAGATAATGATTGAAATTGCTTCTTCATCTAAACTGTTACACTGAATTTTAGTTGTTGAAGGCTTTATTATTATCAAATCTGGTACTTTCACTAGTAAGTGTAATAGGTAGTACCTGCACTTGTTAATCACAGAATGGTATTTATATTTTTGGCCTACATAATAAACTCTATAGGTAATAGAGGGTTTATTAAAAACCTAACATATAACGTCACATTACTTAGCTTGTCGATATCACAAAACACTCTAAAACGGGGTCCAACTACCTAATATTACATTTATTGTAACTGTAAAAAAGAAATAAACACTAACATGTTGTACATTCCACACTTGTTGATTCCAAGTCATGTTATCTAACCGGACTTAATTAAAACATTCTGTTGGCTCTTGGCAAGCATCCTGTTTGCCTACGTCCGTGTCTAAAAATAATGAGTCTTCCAGTTACCACCTTCAATGTTTTATCACCAAATCAATAAAAATCTATTCTAGAATCTTAGAAGTAGGCCCTGTTAGAAACTGTTAGAAAAACTATTTAAAAATTCAAACCAGCGACTTGGGCCATTAGACTAGTGAACGCCAGACCTACGTCATAGATAGTTTTGACGGCTCCAACTCCTTGCCGGACAATTTTTTAGGGTAGCTGCCAAAGCCACCATGACCCAAACTTCACATTACACCAACATTCTTACCTTTGTTGGGAGCATACGCTGACAAACTTTCAGCTTTTATAAAATGACCTAGGTCTGGCGTTCACTAGCTCTTTGTGTAAGTATGTGGACCAAGCTAGAAGTGGGCAAAGTCACTGGCAGACTCAATTAATTAACACAATTTGATCTTTTTCGCTCGACAGCACAACAGCAACTGAATGACGTGTTCAAAACAAGTTTCTGCTTTTATACCTAGATAAGGGCCCCTTGGACTTGTTGATAACTTATCACTAACCGGATTTTCATTCCAGTGGGGGGTCTTATTTTGTTGCTAAGATGGATCATATTGCTTTGTTCTAGCGGCGATGATAACAAATTGTTTTTAGTTTCAGCTTTATCTGTTTTTAAATGTTAAGACTGTATAATAATTATGATGTTTGCCTAGTTTGTTAATGAATATATTATGCAAAACAACTCGAGCGAGGTTTGAAGGACAGCGCATGTTCTATGAACCAATAGGAATCATTCGTGTTATATTTGTTCAAGAGCGGTTTCTGTAGATAACTCTTTATCTAATCAGCTCTCCCAGACAAGGGGCAAATCGTAACAGTTGTAATTCCGAAAACCCTTCGCTAGGGTGTTTTTTGTATGTAGTTACTTCACTTACTTCGCTCCTTGAAGTGATTTCGAGATTCAACTGTCACGTTATGCCACTTGGCTAGCTAGGGAGCGAAGTTTATAGAATGACGTTTTGTTTTTCTTCACTTCAATCTTTTGTTTTCGTCCAGAAACATTGTTTTTTTACTGTCTTATCTTTTGTTTTCGACCAGTATGCAACAAAAATATTTAAAAATACTCTTTCTTCTTTTCCAGGCTAACGGCCAGGCCTCCCAGGGCAAATACGTCGCTGGATCAGTAACAGGTGTGGGCGCCGACTCCGGCCTTTTCGTTGCCAACCACGCTTACTAAACACACACTTTTCCACACTAGCAACACTCGGTCTATGCACCGTTTGACAGATTGACAGATGTTCGCGCGCCATTTTCTTTTCGTGGTCCAATTATGAAATAGTGACGTGTCACACCACTCACAAAGCCATGTCGATATCAATTTTTTTGCTATTTTAATTACTACAAAATTATGTCTGAATCTTCTTGTGACGCGTCTTTTATTTCGCGGTCCATAAAAATGTCGGTTTGACAGTTAAATTAGCTGTCAAAATGCGATTTATCGACACTATTAACTTTTGTCGATATAATCGCTGACAAAACAACTGAAACTATCATTTTTCTATGAACATTCTAGTTTTTTTTTTAGTAAAACGCATAATTATGTAAGCATATGCCTCGAATATAAGATCAACATTGGTCACGTAGAGTGTGTAGTGTTGTATTCGTATGTTGAGATTATAGATTAGTGCTTCATCGATTGCGTAGAATATTAAAAGGCGTACAACTTAGCTTGCAAAGATTCTTAAATCTATTTTGATGTTAAAAATATATGAGCATTTAAAAAATGTTGTATCGTCTCAAAAAATATGTCGATTCTATTCAGAAGAGTCATTGCAAGAAGAGTAAAATGTTGAAATTATATCTAGAAAAATATTAGATCGATGTTGTTAAATCAAATGTTAAAAATTTATTTTTAAATTGTATTAAGTATTACAGAAACGGTACATACTGTTAATTTTTATCCATTTATATGGTTTTATATTTATTATCATTTTAGTTGTAATGTAATTTTGATATTTTTAAGATTAAAGTTATATCTTCAATCAGGTATGTAGTTTGTTTCATTTGTCACCCTGTAGAATATTGAGAGAATACCTATCTTGTTATAAACATTACACACAGTTAAAATAAAATCCATGTAGAACTTTTAACTTACAGATCCCAACTGTTGTGTAGGCCTACTTATCTCGTAATAATAAATTTTAATATTGCACCACTACCGCTACAGAATAATGTACATATTAAACATAACTATAAATTTTAATATTATGAAATAGGTAGTTGTAGGGATCTATAATTTAGCGTTTTCTCATTCAGCGCCTTAACCTTCTATTTTGAAAATGACAAGAACTACCCTAAAAAGAAAAACTAAAAAATATTGCGAAGCCCACATACAATTAATTTTCAATGCGGTACGCCTACGCGCTTTGAGTTCAATTCTAGTAATTAAATAGGTAAAAAAACGTCATCCTCATATTAAATGATTGATATATTTGTATGGAAAGGTAGGTAGTTATTTTAACTTCGGTCCCCTGGAAAACATTTACGCAGTAGACTGTAGAATTAATCCTTTTTGTTTGATCAAGTACAAAAATAACACACTATAATAATGTACCTGTATTTTGTAACCCTTGCAAACGCCGTCTCTACCAACAATAGAGTTATTTCAAGAACGTTCCTAATTTGGTATGTTCTTCACAATGTCCTATTTCAGTGGCGGTGACATAATAAAGGGTTTTCGAGACGCCATTGTTTTAAAGTTTCCCAATGACTTACGAGCTTTTGGCGGCATTGTGGGTCTTTGTAGTGTTGCCAGTGTCCCCTTGAATGTATTTCCCGATTTCGACGGTGGATGTCCCATATTAATTTGTTTCCCAACCTTACGACTTAACGAGCTTTCGACAGCATTGTGGGTATTTGTAGTGTTGCCAGTGTCCCCTTGAATGTATGTCCCGATTTCAATGGATGTCCCATAATACCTTACATAATTTGTAGTGGTCACACACAGGTTCTGATCTATTCAGTCAGTCAGTTAAGTAATGCAGATTTGAGACAGTTTTTGTCTGAAAACTCTTATTCATAAAAGTTATGCCATAGCTAAAATACCCACTGCTTTGGCTCATTTCATGGAANTCATGGAGCCAAGTTAACATTTGTCAAAATGGGACAACTTATTTTATTAGCTAAAATAACACTATTATATCTCTCGCTCGGAACACGGATAACTTCGAATTGGAAGAAATGTTACATTTCCTTGTTGTTTTTATTTCTTCCAACATGCATTTATTATTCTACTGTCCCGCAAATTTGTATCTGGTACATCACTAGCTGTAAAGTGTGAAGTCGATGTTAATTCAGCAAGCAGAAACGATATACCTAAATAGTTACTACGTATACTTTAAGGTCAACCAAGTTATGTAATTTTAACGCTTGAAAATCGGCTGAAACGAACCCTTGACGTAAAGAGTTTCTGTAATACCTGAATCCCAAAAACTGATGTACCTAGGTAATAATTTTCATCTTATTTATTTTGAAAGGCGAGGGTGTATTTAGCTATGGTGCCTATGTTTAAAGAAATTCTTTTAGTCGGTCCGTGTCGTCCGTTCATCACTGGGCAACTTTTCTGCCCTAACGGCCATCCATCAGTTCAATTGCCCCGCCCACTGCTACTTATGTTTGGCAAGCTATGTCGGTTACTTTGGTTTTTATTCCTCCTTCCTCATTTTTGATTAGATCACACCTAATTCAGAAAATTCTTAAACTGTATTTTACCCTATTATAACTAGTATGCCCGCGACTTCCAACGCGTGGGAATCAAATCGTATTTCCCCATGTTTTCTCACCATCATACCTTCCCTGGACTACAACAAACATTTCAAAACCNCGCGTGGGAGTCAAATCGTATTTCCCCATGTTTTCTTACCATTTTTCCTTCCCTGGACTACAACAAACATTTCAAAACCAAAATCGATCAAGCCATTCTCGAGTTTTTTGAGACTATACCTGTTACCCCGTCAAACACAATTAGTCTTACTCATATTGCCTACGGATCTATTGTTAGGTACAAATTATCCAGGTCGTAGACTCAATGTCACCTGCCCCCGCCTTGACCGGGTCTGAACCCTCCATAGTGTCACTTAACGCGATTTGAGTGCCCAATAAATTACCTAGTCACCTAGCTGTTGAATTTCCAATTTAACTTAATGAAAATTAAGTGTGTAAAAGTTTCATTTCAAATGGAAATCTAATAATTAAGTTACCTTTTGAATACACTTCGAAATTAGCTGTTAATGAGCTTTTCGAGGGTCATTTTAATGTTTTTAGTTACTTATTCATCATCATCATCATTTCAGCCATAGGACGTCCACTGATGAACATAGGCCTCCCCCAATGCTTTCCATGTTGATCTATTGGTAGCGACCAGCGCTTCCCTGCTACCTTTACAATGTCGTCGGTCCACCTTGTAGGTGGACGTCCCACGCTGCGTTTTCCGGTACGCGGCCTCCATTCCAAAACCTTTCTGCCCCATCGGCCGTCAGTTCTGCGTACTATGTGCCCTGCCCATTGCCACTTCAGTTTGCTAATCCGTCGGGCTATGTCAGCGACTTTGGTTCGTTTACGGATCTCCTCATTTCCAACCTCGTTACTTACTTATAGTTACTTATTGCTCGCGATTTTGTAATAAAACATTTATCCTATAGGTCTAGCTAGCACTAGCCCTTAACTCAGCCAGTGACTGAGGTAATAGGATCGGCACGGGAGGGGTGACATTGACATTATTATGACGTGTCAGAGCATAAAAATCTGAAGACTCCCTGATATACAGGGTGGAATTTTGTAATGCCACCTGGAGGGAAAGTACTCTTAATACTGTAGATAGAAAATTTTACTCAAAGAAAACATTCCTTTATTTTTGAAAACAAAGAGAACTGCATTCAAAGATTTTTGAAAATTTTTCGAAAATTCACTAAGTAGGTACCATAAAATTTTCTGTAAATAATTAAAAATAATTTAAGATTTCATGGTTTTCCTTTCATTTAATTTATCAAGTTTGTTAGAGAGATTTCATCTATAAACTTAACCCTAACGATCGATGCAATAAAAATACAGGGTGAAATTTTTAACAAATAGTTGGTTCGATTCCCGTGTGTGGCATGCTAATTTTTGGAAATCTTTGAATGCAGGTCTATTTCTATTCAAAAATAAAGGAATGTTTTCTGTTCAGTTGTTTCTGTTTCAGTATTAAAGTACTTTCCCTCCAGGTGGAATTACAAAATTCCACCCTGTATGACGTAACAAAAATCACCCTCCCGTGCCGCTCCCATATCCCAGGCACTGACTGAGTTTTAAGCACTAGACCTATAGTTTGATATGCTGGTGACGATTACGATGAAAAAGAAAATGTCTAGGTTCTTTCAGCATTCCAGATGCGCAGAAAAAGTTTTTAGTATGCTAAAGTAGAAACTATTTTAGCGCGATAGTTCAATTTCAGAATAACTAAGTACTTTTTAATTTTTCTAGCTCGAAAACTATTCTCTTGTTTAGTGCTCCGTGGACTATGATTTTAAAATTTCATTCTCTCTCGTCACTATTTTATGCATAAGTGAACAATTTGTTACAATGGGAGTTGAATGCAGCAGATCTTACGAGATGAAGTAGGTATTTGTATAGGTAGGTAGGTACTCCTACTTTGGAGGTGTCGAGACCTAAGCCCGATAAGGCTCGGCGCAAATTGGCCACTGACCACGCGACAAGCTGTTTCTTCCATGATTTTTAGGATGTTTTGCTTATAAAAGCCGCACACGTTACCGTGTGAGAGCCATGCACCAACCACTCGTGGCTGTACCAAAAGACGTAGCACACGAAAGCCACAGTGACTATGAGGTCTATTCCACTTTTATTATCTGGATTTGATCACCCCAGGTGATCAGTGTTCTCCGGGCGATACTTTGATGTGGATGGACCCATGGATTGAAGTCCACTTTGATCACCTAAGTGACAGTATCTCACTTAACACCAGGTGCGATTGCGGTCAAATACCTGCCTTCTCTTGCATAAAAAAAAGTGATTTTATTGATGGGTGATCAAAGGACAAAGGACACCAGTGTCGCCTGGAGTAGGTAGGTACACTTTGATCACCTAGGTGATCAAAACCATGTGATTAAAGTGGAATAGACCGACTATGGTTGGTGGCCCGTTTCGCAGAACCTAAAACCTTTTGTACCCTTTGCACCACCGGCCTGCACCACTGGTGGTGCAAAGGGTATTTTTAAATCCCTCTTGCACCACCAACAAATAGTGCTGTGCTACCATCGACTGTAAAACTAGTAGTAGACTGTAAAATACTTAATAATTTAATTGTTATAAATAAATCAAACCTACCTAAAAGTTTTAATTTGTGTGTGTGTAAGTGCCTATAAACATTTCACTTCAAACCCACGATACCCCGGACCTACATCCTACATACAACGAATAAAGTACCAGGGCAACATAACCATAAAGGAGCTATACATGTTTTTTTCTCGGATCAACCAAGAAGAATTTGATATAGCTCCTTTATGATTATGTTGCCCTGGTACTTTAGGAATATTATTCGTTATAAAATATGTAGGTATGAATGGTTGTTATTTTTTTTTTTATGTTATGTTGTCAAATCTGTCCAGTAGTTTCGGAGCCTATTCAGTACAAACAAACAATCAATCTTTCCTCTTTGTAATATTAATATTATATGATTATAGATAATCGTTTTACAGTTAATGGTAGGGCAGCACTATTGGTGGTGCAAAAGGGATTAAAAAATACCCTTTGCACCACCAGTGGTGCAGGCCGGTGGTGCAAAGGGTACAAAAGGAACCTAAAATAGTTAATTGCGTCAACCGTCACTTAACAACGCTGGAGTGGACCTTCTGTGCTCTTCTATATTGTAAAATTCAGTCTACGACACCGTCGCAGTGCTCAGTCGCCATTTATCGGTTCATTGAGCAACGGTTCGTCTGCATAGTAATTATTTAT